AGAGGTGTATAGGGGACAGAATATATACCATTAAACTTTATTTTTTTGATTTAGAGAATACCAGTAGTTTGTTTTTCTATGAAAGGAAATTCTTATAATTCAATTTAATAATATTTTTTATAATTCGAGCGTCAGTCCATTTCGTGGATGCGTTATAGTATTTTGAGTGAGTTCTTTACATTTATTTTAAAGAAAAGGTGACGACAATAATCGATAATAATAGGTCATTTTCCACCACAAAACATGTGTTGGTAGAGGTTTCAACTTCCACTTTGGTTTTGTTTTTGTCATAATTGTGGTATACGGGACTACTAAATGCCTATGCTTTTTTGTTAGCCTACCGTTTTTCTCTTAATTTGGTTTCGTTTACCTCAATATAATTTAAGAATATAAACAATTCGACTATTGAAAGATCTATGTTTATCATTGGGGTTTTCCCAATTTCCATTGCAAATAGTTGGTACCAAACGATACGATTCAAGTAGCAAATGGTTTCGATTCGGGAAGGTGACGTAATCATTTCTAGAACCTGTGTTTCCCTTCTCGTCGTTACATAAACAAATTTGACATTCATGGAAGGAAGTCTTCGTCAAGGGAATTGAAGTTCTTATGTGCAATCATTAATTTGTTCCTGTCTCCCTAAAGTAAATACTTCTTCGGTGATTGATTAGTTTTTCTTGTAAATTTTCTTCTAGTTCAATTGTTAGTTTTTCAGTTATTAATTGCTTTGTTTACACTAAATTTAGCATGACGAATAATTACAATTCATTAATATTATGTTTACGTGTGATTGGATATACTGTATAACGCAGCCCATCGCATACATGACTTTTCATATACATCAGTCCGTTATAATTACAGCAGGCTATCGGACTCGTAACCTCGGTAACACGACGAGCCCGTCTGATACTCTAAAGCATGTCGGTCGTCAACGTTGACCCGTCGGCTACGCGAGAACTGTTCGTCGGATACAGAATCCGTCAATTATAGGCTATGAATCCGTAATCACGTTAGTTTTATTAGATCGATTGAGTAGGCCTACTTGTTTCCTTCGCGTGTTCCTAGATGCTTCCCAGTCTCCGTGACATCTGAACCCCATTGCAAAAAATTATTGTGTACTGACCCTTGAGACTTAATGAGTTATCCAGGTATTAAAAACCTGTTTCCCACCTTGTATTGTATAAAGGCCTACAGAGTATGTATTTCTCATCTTTTACTGTAACTTGTGAATTTTAATACAAAATAAAAAAATAAATAAAATAAAAAAATTGGTAATCATTATTATTGAATTTCTTAATATTCAGACACTAATTAGATCTCAGTGATGCTTAAAAGTGTTTGCGAAAATGGTAATTAAACATTGTTATAACTTTAATAGACTAACAAAAACACTTATATACATTCATAGGATGATCTTGATGACGAGATAGTAGATGAAAGTTCTGAAGAGGATTCCAATGAGGAAGATGAACTGGATATCGAGGTGAATTTAGCGTTTGAGCCTAGTTTGGGCGAGTCAGAACTCCAAGCGCTTGGAGCCTTTGAGATTGCGGACCGCCTAGCCGGTGATATCGCTGGCAACACTGACCGTAGAATAAAGACGAGGGCTAGGCGAAGCGTCCTAGAGGAATCAACACCAAGTCCAGGTAAAACAAAGAGCCGGTCAGGGAGGAAGAAAAATAAAGGTGGAAATAGAAAGGACACTAGTTTGGGAGAAGGTGAATTAACTGATTGAAATCAATTAAATGCTGCTATATTCTGTTGCTAGTCTCTGCTGACTAACATGAAGTGAATAAAAGTTGCCTTTTAAACATCAAACATGCTTATTCACCAATTAAATTATATTTCAGTTATTAAAAAATACTGCGTCATACTACATTCTCTGAATCAAATTCAATCGCCTTGGCTTATGAACATCACTAAAGCTACATTAACACTATACACGACAGCGACACGACAACGACATTATCATCGGTCGTTTATATTCTTCAACACCGAGCGCATTTTTATCGTGTCGTCGTGTCGTGATCGTGTCTAGTGTAAATATAGCTTCATTATGTAAAAGTCCCTACACACATAGTTTCAAATTCCTTAGTGGGCATTTGCATAATACGAATAATATTTGTAATTTAAGTATTATACTAACTAAAATGTATACACTGAGCCTACATACTAATATGTTTTATTGATAGTGCAATATAACTTGAGGCACAAAATTGTTCAAAAGCTACCCACTACCCAGCTTCTCAAAAGATAAAGAATATTAATTCACGTGGACATTTTTAATTCTAACAGAAAAAAAAAACAGACAGGTATTGATTTTAAGTAAGCTTACGATCAGCATTATAATATATTATAGAAATTTATATAGCGCCTTTTCCCAAAGGATACAAGGCGCTTAGATATGTCGACTAGTAACTCTATTAAAGACTTCCGTCGCCCCTAAGGGTCCCTTCTCGTCTGTACTACCCGGTAAACCGGTACCAGCAACTCTCGTCGTCCACCACAGGGGCAGTTTGTACCAGTACACCAGGGTATCCCCCTACTCATCTCGAATGATGTACTGGGTTCTTTATAGTGCACACGAGCCATTGTATACACTGGGCCACTTGTTCTACCACCAGAACCAACGGCGATATTATGGCTGTAGGTTGCGGCTTCCATGCCTTAACCAATCGGCCATTCGACTCTCCATATATTAATATAGGCTATTTCAATTTAATTTAAATTTTAATTGTAATCTAATGATGTAATAAAAATAAAAAGAAAAATTTAAATTCACAAATTAAAAAGAAAAGACTCATTGTAAATTATGCACAAAGAGACAGTTGGCAACCTCTAGATTGCTTAGGTTTTTGCCAGACTTGTTTTCTTTTAAACCAAAGCTACTGTAAGCTTACAGATACACTGTGAATGTATGCTAAAGTATTAGGTATTGTCTTTGAAAAGCAAAACATCAATAAAGTAAAAACAATTTTTTTTTATTGTTTTGCCTGTCCCAGAAATTCCCCTTTCTTATCATATAGCAATAGCAACTTGAAAATTTGTAGTAGTTTCCGTCCCACCGGAAATTACGATATAATAGGCCTATAATAATAATAATTCTCCCTGAACCTAAATGGTCGACCGCGATAGTGAAGTTACTGCTGATACAATTTAGCGGTTACTAACAAAATTAGCCGTCTTTTAAGTGTAAACTCAAACTGGACTTAAGACTTCTCAACCACCAAAAATCAAGTATAGGCCTATATACACATCCTCCTATTGATATTAGGAATAGTATAGGCATAATATAATAAACCAAAATAAATATCTCGAATTTATATGGCGCCAATTCCAAACACGATCAAAGGCACAACGCATGTAAACAGCCACCTGAAAATAAATAGGTCTGCAAATAGGTCTACAATAGTCTACAAATACTGCTGAATCCGTTGTAAATTTGAAATAACCAGCCTTCCAGTAACAAACTTGCCCCATTTAACAGTTTAACTCGTCGCATATCCCCCATCGAACTTTGATACTTCGCCGTCATATATACTGTAAATGTTTTTTTTTAAATTTCGGTAATTCAAAAATGCATGTAAATTTAGAGGAAAATTTGATGAAGTATTTAAATCAACTTTGAGCGAAGTTAAATGTTTTGAAAGTAGCATACTTAACTCTCCTGACGCAAGTCCAGTTATTGTCTATTCCATCACGACAATAACAATTACTATCAACATTGCAGTACCCGGTGCTTACTTGGGCTCGAATTCAACCCTGTCCATCAGGCGCAAGCTCGGTGGTCTAGGTATGATGCCAGGCTAGTGATCTGGAGATCGTGGGTTCGAGACCCACCCGAGAACAACTTTCGACAATGACATCTATACTTGCCCTTAGTTTGCGTGCATGAAGCATGCTCAAAACTTGAATTGGCCAAACATATGTGAACTCGAAATTTGTGGATGCCGAACACCATTCGATGGCGCACATTCAGAAAATTCAATTTACTAAATTCTTGCTTTTAAAATATTTAAATACTAAAGCGATTCCAACGTCTATTCAGCTTATAAAACGATATTTTGAAAGTAGGATTTAGCAGACATTCAATTGCGATCATCGCAATACAAGAGATGTAAAAAATACTATAAAAAATGTACAACGCATGCTAATAAGCTTTAAATTTGGCCCATATAACAAATAATTGAATAGGCCTAATTCAGTTAATTGATAAATGTCCTTTGTAACGGGCTATTAGACCTGCCGTCATAACTAAAATTCAGCTATTGGTAACCGCGTTAACCATCGACTCGTCTGCTTACCAATTCTGAGGCTATATTCACCGGTTAAGTATTGACATAGGTGCTTGTTCTACTAATTAATTTATGCTAATGGCGGTTTTGATTTACTAACCCTAGTTTGTATATAATTGTATTTTAACAGAATGTTTATATTATAGAAATTCTAACAAGGATACTTTGAGACCAGTAGCGGACCCATAGATATATGTACGCGTACTGTACTAACAACATACCTGTAAACCCCGAGGCAATTTTCAAAACGTAGTCTGATCTGCTGCTCTGGTCACCTGTTCCCACCCCATCTAACATGTTCCCCCCTCTAATATATCTTACCTTTCTCTAACCCCTTTCCATGGTTTTAAATCTGGATCCGCCGCTCTCTATACCATAGCTTGGATTTGAACTTGGTAAAACACAAGTTAATTCAGTGTCGTCAACATTCAATGTATCAGAAAACAAGCAAAATGCGTAAACAATAAAGAAGAAAATTAACTAAACATACCCTAAAGAAATGTCCTGAAATTAAAAAAATGTATACACGAGCGTTAAAACTAAAAAAAAAAAAAATTTCAGTTAAATATATGAAATAATTGTAGAACTATTTTGATCATTAATAAAGTGGATGTTAACTTACTGCGAGCTTTCGTCGATGTTATCAAAATAACTTTGTCCGGTTATGTGAGCTAGGAGCAAGTTAACATCCATTGTATTTGGCATATTACCGATCAAAACAGTTTTAAGCAAACCAAATGAAACTAGGTCTATTGAATAAATATGAAATAAGTTGTCAACTTTTAATTAGAAACTGTGAAATATTTTAGTTTTCATAAATTGTAATACAAAAATTCTCAATTGAATACGTCAGTATAAGATTATATGCAAAGATTATAGCAATTATATTTATGATTTTGTTGATTGTCAAGGAAAATATTTTATAAAAAATCAATTTGAAATCTAATAAAATGAATATAGCAATTAAAATACTAAATATATTTGTTCGATCATAGCTCATTATAGACAGTTTATTGTCTAACACCGCTTGTTTTTAATGCGACTACATAATTAAGTTGGTCACACTGTATTAACCATAAAATGTACACAAATAGTTTTATCTTAGAATATCTCATTAACTTAGCTCTATCTCATTAACTTATTAATTTTTTTCTTCAGATAAAACTACCAAAAAACCTAGAAACAGAGGTACGATCTTCTTTTAGTTGCTTGTATTTGGAATTTAATCGTTTTATAAGTTTTAGACTTGAAGTCTGAAACGATTTCTTCCTATGGTAGCGCGTAAAGAATATTTTATTTTTATTTTTTTGAATTTTGGTTGTATTTTATAGTCGCGACAGCAACCGCGATTATAAAATACAACAAAATGCGGTTATTGTTGATGATTTTTCGTTTAGAATATTTTCCGTACTTTCTATTTAAGTAGATAGCTAGTTGTATTGCTTGATACTAACTTTAAAACAACGCTAAAACATTGTTAATATGTCTAATTAAAACGTAGAATGTACCAATTTGTGAGACAATAAATCCAATAAGGCACATTTAAAAATGTCATGCAGCACCTCTTCATCGTCAGGCTAGATGTTATGCTTCATTGGGCCATCTGAAAAACTCAGGCATCCATTCGCATTCTCACATGGGTCTTGTGTAAGACCTAGGCCTATTATACTGTTGGCCTAGCATCAGCCCTGCTTCATAGGCATATTACCAAATGCTATAGGCCTAATTAATATTATTATTATTATTATTATTATTATTATTATTATTATTATTATTTTATTATTATTATTATTATTTTATTATTATTGTTATTATTATTATTATTATTATCATTATCATTATTATTATTATTCTTATTTATATAAATAGGGTAACAGTACCTACATATTTTGTCTGATGATTGCCATTACGGTACTAAGCTGAGAATAATTGTTACTCTAGAAAATAAAAGAAATACGATAAGTTTTCACACTAGCAAGATTCAGTAACGATTTATCGTGCATACAAATACAAAATATTTTCACAAATCAAATCAAATGACGTCCTAATCATGAAAAAACGATAAAATTGTAGTAATAAAAAAGGATTTTCCCAAGAATATCAGGTCATTTTATTTTATTTGTGAAATTATTTTGTATCGTATTCACGATAAATCGTTACCGATTCTTGCTAGTGTGAAAACTTCAATTACTTCTGTTATTTTCTACATGAAAAATTGCTTTTTATCTTTTTATTTATCAATGATTGTTATCGTCATAGTGTAACAAAGGCCTATATTATATGTATATGAATGTAGGTTTTGCCCAAAAGTGCTTGATTTCTCTCCTGCAGTTTAGAATGTCTCGCTTACCACTTAGTGGGAGCTGCTTTACGACCCCGTCGT